CACTTTATTATCGCTTTCTGGCCCACGTGTGATAACATCCTATGAGAGTCAGTGCAACCCATTGACTCCCAGCAGTTGCTGGGAGTCACCTCCTCCTCTGTCAGAAGCATGAGTCTGCAAGAGGCAGCACAAGTTGCCTACCACTGTGTATTGCCACCACTATTTCCCACCTTTATGAAATGAGGTTATCAATATATTGGTGTGGAAACAGTTTAAATGTGACACCATTCATGTTATTATCTGTTGCATGAGAGGCTTGGCACCATGAGATCCTGAGCACAAAGTCTTGATTAGGGATGTGGATAGTGGAATGCCACTATGGATAATGGAGTAGCAGGGAGTTCCAAAAGAAAATCAGCATGTGCTTTATAGGCTACAGTATAGTCTTTGACTGTATAGATCATGAAAGGCTATGGAATGTCCTTAAAGATATGGGAGTGCCAACACATCTGATAGTCCAAATGAAGAATCTGTACTCAGGACAAGAGGCTACTGTCAGAACAGAACACAGAGAAACAGAATGGTTCCAAGTTGGCAAAGGAGTCAGACAAAGCTGCATCCTATCACCCTACTTATTCAACTTATACACAGAACATATTATAAGAAAAATAGGCTTGGACATGGAAGAGGGAGAAGTGAAAATAAGAGGAAGAAATATCAATAATCTTGAGATATGCTGACAACACCATAATACTAACAGAAAACCTCAAAGACCTGGAACAATTATTAAAGAAGAAAGTGTAAAGGCAGGCTTACTGTTGAACATAAAGACAACAAAAATAATGACCACAGAGAACTTACACACATTCAAACTAGACAATGAGGAAATAGAAATAGTAAAAGAGTTCCCATATCTGGGATCAAACATTGATTGGAATGGGGACTGCAGCCAGGAAATCAGGAGAACATTAAGAATGGGGAGGGCAGCTATGAAAGAACTAGAAAAGATCCTAAAATGCAAAAGACATACAGCTCAGCACAAAAGTTAGAATCATACAAGCCATCCTATTCCCTATTACAATGTATGGATGTGAGAGCTGGAAAGTCAAGAAAGAAGATAGGAAAAAAAATCAATGCATTTGAGATAATGTAGTGCTGGAGAAGAGTGCTGAGGATCCCATGGAGAGCCAAAAGGACAAACAAAATGCCACTCCTTTCAGAGCCAGCAAAATGGCACCCTAAGAGCTGCCGTGTGGCTCTTTCGTGCCCCTTCCGGCACAGCACGTCAAAAGGAAAAGTGGAGGGAAGTCGAAAGAGAGGAAGGGCACATGCTAGATGGATGGACTTTATTAAAGAGACCACGAATAGGAGTTTGCAGGAGCTGGGCAGACCAGTAGAGGATGGGGGGGGGTAGGGGGTGGCTGGAGATGTCTCATCCATAGGGTCACCATTGGTCAAGATTGATGCGAAGGCAGTTAACAACAACAACAACAACTCTTCCTGTATCTACCTTTCCTGCTACTGTGCAGCCCTGCTCTGAAAGCCCTAGTCTTCAAGTGTGAGATGGTAAGGCATGGCATGCCCTGCTCTTGCTTAGTTGGCAAAATTGCTATTTTTGCATGATTTCAATTAGCCTATAACCTCTTACATGTGTAATTACTGGTATTAGGCATGTAAGCTTTGCTGGCTTTTATATTGCTTCACCATATGTTGTTAAGGTGCCGTTTGGGACTCATAAGAACATGAGAAAATGAGAAGAGCTATGCTGAATATGATTAAAGCTTTCCTGAGTCCCAATATTCTGTAGCCACAGTAGCCATCGTATAGTCTACAGGAAGCCCACCAGAAGACCATGGGGACTACTGCATCCATTTATGTTTTGTACTGTGGCGAAGAAAAGGCTGAACATCATATGGATTTCGTGTAAGCTAAAAGGTTTGGCTCATGGATACCATGATAGATAGCTGTACTGAACATGAGGGGTCAGGTGTGTCTTGGGGTTAAACGTACTAACAATGGATAGAAAGGAGGTAAAAAGAAGTGAATGAGAAACTCCTTTTGCTTTGTCAAGGAAGATAACCCAACAATTGAATCATCCTGCCTTGGAATATTCCCCACAATTAACCATGAAATTAGAGTTTACTTCTAAATTATTTAGCTATGAAATAATACTGATCAATATTGACAAAACCAATGGGCCAGTGTGGTGTAATGGTTTGAGTGTTGGACTAGGACACTGGAGACCAGGGTTCAAATCCTGGCTTGGCCATGGAAACCCACTGCGGTGACCTTGGGTAATGCTTCTGAACTTTCAGGCTTACAGGCTCAGCAGGAATGTGAATTAGATTCTTTGTACATGCACAACTTCCTCCAGATGGATGTCAACCTTGACAGTCAGGGTTACTTATCATTTAAAAGAGCCTATGCATGTAGAGAATGCAAGACTGGCCCACTCACAAGACAAAGTGGGGAGCAGCAGAGTCAGCCTCATAGCTTTTTCCTGCAGTTAGAAAACAGAGCTATGTATGTCACAAAGCCTTCCCGAGGGCCCTAATGTAATCATCTTATGACATGTGGTGGAGGCTGCTGTTCCATTGTTAGTGTTCAAGGAAGATTCAACTCCTAGTCCAAGTTGGCTTCTTTCTGTGGACTATGGAGAAGCTGCCATCTTGTCCTTTGCCTAAGGCAGGAAAATATCTAAGGTTGGATTTTATAAGTGGTACATACATTCTGTTGAGCATGTTGGTGGCAGGGATGATCCAACCTTCTTTCTGTGCCTTCAGTATTGATATAGAGGGCAAGACTGAACAGTGCTAAAGTGAGAGACACCACATAAACACAACAAGCACACACTCAGGAGGTACATGTACACCATTTAATTATTAGTGCTAGCAACCTTTGCGTTATTTATTTATATATTTGTATCACACTTTCCCTCCAAAATTGGGACGCAAAGTAGTTTACAAATTAAAAACAAAACAATACAATTTGTATGCCTATAGTCACTAATTGCTAGTTTCCATGCTTGTAGATTTCCTGTTTGTTTGCTTTACCATGCCTACTTTCACTTTTCCATTTTCTCTTCTCCCTCTCTCTCCTCCATTTGACCATGTGCTTGATTATGGACAAGTATTGTTAGTAGAACAATGTTTATATACTTTACAAAGAAGACTACGGGGGGTTGCAGACTGCCAGAAATAGTGCAAATTGAGTCCACTTTTAGGGTTAGGGTTAGTGCTAGGGAATCATGGGAAATGTGCTTTTTTCTGAGATATTGAGCCCTCTGTCAGAGAGCTCTGGTGCCACAATAAAATACAGTTCCCATGATTCCCTAATCCTAACCCTAACCCTAAAAATGGACTCAATTTGCACTATTTCTGGCAGTCTGCAACCCCCTAAGTTTGTTTCTTTCTCTGCTAGATACTGATGGAGGTGTGGGTGAGACTGGTTATCGTTCAGCTTCTGCTTTGCCAATTTTATTACTCTGTTTGAGAGATCTAGTTCTATCTCTCATATTTCCCAAACTGTAGCTATCTATTATAGAACATTCAGTCTCAAGTGCTCAGCATGTCATTAGATTCATTTCTCTGCAAAGTACCTCACCAGGCTTTGTTTCAGCTGTGTGGAAATCCCATGCTGCTGCAGTGACTGTGTCTATACAGAGCAACATCTGTTATCCTAATATATTGATGCCTTCTATCCATTTGGTTCCCTCCACACGACTCCAGTTGTAGAAACAGTTATTGCGCTATCGAAACAGACACACATTTATTTCACAGACTATGAATTCTGTGCTAATAGGCCAACCTATCTTAATGTTGATCAGGAGAACTTTTAAGAAATCTCCAGCAGATGGAAGTATAGCACAAGCAAAAACACAGAATACACAGAAGCAAACAGCTGTAACTATGGATTGTTACTCTTATTTTTCTTACTGGTCAAGAGACAAATGTGGAATCTGCTCTCACCTTACACTCCTGGCTATTAATTAATTAGGCTAATATATCCATTTTCTTATTAGCCTAGAGACAAATTAGTACCCTGTTCTTGATCAATACAGCCCAGTCTACTTCCTTTGAAGATGCAGATAAGTAGAAATTTAGATAGATATTGAGAAATAATTGTTTAAAGATATGTGTTCTTTTTTTTTTTTTGTATTATAAGTAAGAGTATCAATTAACAAATTAAGAGATATAGAAAGATAAATTTTAAGGAAAAGAAATGTGTACTTACTTTTGAAGAACTAAGGAGAAGTTTATAGAAATGTATATAGGTTGAAGATGGAGAAGACTTATGTATTATATAAGTAATATTTTATGTATATTTTTAAATTAATAAATACAATTACAAAAAAGATGCAGATTCCACTTTGTTGCTGGAGCTAATAGTTAAACTAGGTATTGGCTTGTTTTATTTTAAAAAAGGCATCAAAGCTATTGGACATCCTGTGATAGTGACTCTCAAAACTTGCATATGCATTATGTCGATCTTGTTATCAATTTTGCACAAATGGGGGGTTTGGATCAAGATCTAATCATATTAAGAACCATGGCATCACTAGGGTTGGTGTCACCTGGTGCAATAACGCATGGTGTCAGCCCCCTCATTGGTCTCCTCCCATACCACACCTTAGTAAAAAAAAAATTGCACTAATGTTACTCATAAATCATCATTCCCATATATCATTGAATGTAACAGTAATGGTATATAATAAATAGTACGTAATAATAAACAAATAGTAAATTTTAAAATTATACCTTTACATCACAGTATCATACACACAGTCTAAATATATTTGCATGTACATAGGTTCATATAGTTAAAGTGAAAACTTAGTAAAATAAGTTTTTAAAGAAAAATGTAAAAGAATAAAGAAATTAAATTTTTTTGGTATTTTTTTAAAATTGAAATTTAAAATATTTTAAATTTTTTAAAAAGCCTAGGGGTCACACAGTATATACACCCCACACACCTCCATGTCACCACTCTCTGAAGATGCCAGACATAGATGTAGGTGAAACATGAGGAAAACATTCTTCTAGAACATGGCCTCACACCTCCAAAAACCCACAAAAACTTAGGGCTTCTCCTTTCTCCTCCCACTGAGCCAAATCCCACTTACATCGTCTCTTCAGCATTTTAAAGGGATGAATACTACAGCCCAGTTCTGCCAAAAGGCAGATGTTTGGGGAGCAGTAGTGTCATCTCTGCAGGGTGTCACCTTGTGTAGTCCCCATCCTTTGCAGCCCTTAGTGATTCTCCTGATTAAGAGCAAATCAGATGGATTCAGTAGGCTTACTCTAAGTCTGGATCAAGCTGTTAAAAAACTAGGGAATATATTTCAAATCACATTGACAAACAGCATGGACAGAGCTTGGAAAATATACTTTTTGGATTACAGAATCCCTAGAATGGGAATGCAGTCCAAAAATGTAATTTTCCCACACTCGGACAATTCTATGGAATCAATATAAGATAATTTGCATTCCTCAAATTCATGCTGCATTGCTAGAATGGAAACAGTGATAAATACAAATAGACAAAAAATGAAGAAAAAAAAAGAATTGCAAATCCATGTTAAACCGGGCAAATGAGTATGCATTAAACTACTTGATATTAGCATTTGTTTTAGAATTATGTTGTTAAATGCATTGCCTGGAAGGATAGTTGGACTTTATATTTCATATCTGTTGTCAGGCAGAAATAAGGCAGTAATAAAATAAGCAGACAAACGTATTGCTGCAGTTAAGAAAATATTACAGCTCATCAATGGCTAATAGTAATATTGGGATGAATGCTATGGACATTGTCTGTAATATAAAATTGATTTTTTATTGTTATGTTATCTATTCATGTTTAAGCTTTTAGATAATTTATTTGGGTTTAGTCATCTTATATGTTTTGCTTTACTGCCTCTCCATGCCTTAATTTAGATTTGCAGCCAAGAAGCAGAAAAAAGGGATCTCAAGAGTAACAGTAAAATGAAACAAAGGAACAAATACAGGATGACATTTTTTTAAAAAATATTAGACTTAGAAATGCTAGTTCCCAAGGAGACTTTAGCTGCTACAGAGATTGGAAATTTTACTTTTTTGGCCTACAGTTCCAGTATTATCTAGCCAGCATAGCTAGTGGCAAAATAAATTATTTAAAAGCTTTAATATGTGTACATAACATGTCAAGAACCAATTGTGCATTATAAACAATGCCCATTGGGAATTTTGAGAGCTATAATCCAAAAAGTAACTTTCCTAAATTCTGAGTCTACTGAACTGCATTTTAGTAAAAGGAATTGGAATTGTTTTTGTAAATGACCTTGAAAAAGTTAAGTAATTCCAAGTACTTCTTTATAGCTACCTACTCCTAAGTCTGAGACTGAAACAATCCTAATTTTTTTAAATACATAAAACAAAATAATTCCCTGGAATTTACAGAGCCTAGGTCAGGGGTAGGCAACCTTTTTGAGCAGGGGGCCAGGTTGCTGTCCTTCAGACAATTGGGGGCCCTAAACACAAATAAATAAATAAATAAATAAAAAATAAAAATAAAAAATAAAATAAAAAATATGTACGCACACTCTCTCAGCCCCAGAAAAGCCCTGGCAAAACCCCTGTGGAGATTTTGCCAAGAAAACCCCAAGAACAAGTAATAACAACAATAATCAAAATCATCATGGTGGGCGGCGGCAGCAGGACGGCCTGGGAGTGGTCCAAAGGCCTTGGGGGGCTGCATCCAGCCCCCGGGCCTTAGGTTGCCTACCCCTGGCCTAGGCATTCAAGTCATATAAATTGTGCCTGGCATCCTATTGTTAAATTTCTTTAACATTCAATCCAGCGAAGTACATTTGCTAAACTCAATTTTTCCTGATTCAAGGGTCTCTGGTTCCTGTGTTATCCACAACACTATTAGAGGCATTTGTTGTTATTGCTGTTAACTGCCTTTGCATCGATCTCAACCCACGGCAACCCTATGGATGAGACATCTCCTGGCCCCCTGTCCTCTACTGCTCTGCCCAGCTCCTGTAAACTCTTATTTGTGGTCTCTTTAATAAAATCCATCCATCTAGCATGTGGCCTTCCTCTCTTTCAAGTACAAGTTAACTTCATACCTGCATAAGTCTAATTTTGGATGATGCAGAGATTGGTATTACTTTTCTCCCTCTGCTGCAACCAAATTCCCCCATTCTGGACCTACCACAGGGCCACTGAAGCCCCCCATCATGACCATGATGTTCTTGGTGGAGAGTGGAGGAGATTGCAGAAGGGTCTG